CCACAGACGGCTAAGGGGGCGCAGCCGGCTGGGAGATTATCCGGGGTGAGCCGTCCGAACCTATTAGTGCCCAATCGGCTTTTCCCAAATCCTGTAAACAGCCACCCTGGCCGGTTCTGAGGAGGGGCGGCAGGAGGCTGGGTCTGGCGGGGGGGATGGGGCCGGGGGTGGGGTCACCCACCCTACAGGTCTCTGCCGTGGATGCGGCTGCCTTGGCAACGGGGCTAGGGTGGGGGCACTTCACCAATGAGGCGCTCTCAGTCTGGGTGACGGTTGCCTAGGCAACTTCACGAACAGCCCAGCTTCCCTCTCTGGTCTCGCCCCCCCCACCCCCCCCGCCCCGCGAAGCTGGGGGTGTGTGTGGAGGGTGTGCAGCGTGTGGGGGTGAATTTAAAGAGGTACCGCCCCTTTTAAAATTAGGTGCTAGGAGGGCGGTGCCTGTGCGGGCTGGGGCGGACGCCAGGTCTGTTTTCGAAGGGACTGCCCCCCCTCCAGTTCCTGCCGCCGTGTCCCGCCTGGGCTGCTGTCGGAGGGAGCGGTTTCCCCTGTGCTTCCTCTTGCGCTTCCCGCTTCGTTTCCGGGGGGCGGGAGGAAGATTGGGGAAGTCAGCTATTCCTTGGCATCTGCAACATCTCTCCTGGGCCAGAGAGCCTGGTTGTGCCGGGAACCACGGCCACAGCTGCCGCCCCCAACCCCCTCCGAGTGCTTACCCCTTCCGGGCCACGCTTCAACCCCGCCTTTCCCCCTTCTCCGCGGCGGTGGCGGCAGCCGCCTTGGGGCCTGACGTCAGTTCTGCATCCCCAGGCCTCGGGCCAGCGGCCAGGAGCTGCCTCCCCCAGCCCTCTTCCCGCGGCCGCCTGCCGCCCCCAGCCGCCCCCAGCTCCGCCCCACGGGCCCGGCGCCATGAGTGAGCTGGAGCAACTGAGACAGGAGGCTGAGCAGCTCCGGAACCAGATCCGGGTGAGCGCCTGGACGGCTGGGATGGGGCGGCTGTGCTGGAAGCTCTAGGTGGCTGTGTGCTGCTGCCTGGTACCCTGAAGTGGGCCAGTGAAGGTTTTTGATGGTGGAGGAGGAGTGGACAGAGGGAGGGTACCCTAGTCTTTCAGTATCTCATCCTCTGCACTCCCTTGTCTCCTGTTTTCTTTCCTATCTTCTCTCCTGTTTCTCTCTGGCTGGCTCCACCATCTCGTGCAGGATGCCCGGAAAGCATGTGGGGATTCAACACTGACCCAGGTGAGGTGAATTTAGGGCTGGACTAGGGCGTAGGGGTGTTTGAGACTTACCGCTCAATGGGGTCCAATGGAAGGACCTTTCTAAGCTCATTCTGCCTCTACCTCCAGATCACAGCTGGGCTGGACCCAGTGGGGAGGATCCAGATGAGGACACGGAGGACCCTCCGTGGGCACTTGGCAAAAATCTATGCCATGCACTGGGGCACAGATTCGCGGTGCGTTTGCCTATGTGGGACTGGGACTCTGGCTCAGGCGTTTGTGTTCTTGTGTGGCGGCTTTGGGCTGGTCCTTCATGTTCATGTGCTTATGGGGCTGATTTTCTAGCAGGTAGGGGGTGGAGGAGGTGGTGGTGGTGGCGGTGGCGGCAGCGGGAGGGCAGCCTTAGAGATCTCGTGGGATAAACATGGTGCCCATATTGCCAAAGTATTCTGGGAAGATGGTGACTCTTAGACATCCCCATGGGGCCTGGAAAAGCACGACCATTCTGACAGGCTGCTGCTGGGGTTTGTATCAAAAGAACCTCCCACCAGATGGGGGTGTTGAGAGGAGGGCTTTGAGCCCTGACTCCATTTCCTCTCTTCTACCACTCTCCACCAGGCTGCTGGTCAGCGCCTCCCAGGATGGGAAGCTTATCATCTGGGATAGCTACACCACCAACAAGGTAGTGGTGGTACCTGGGGTGGGCCAGGGCTGGGCTGCAGGGCCCTGGGTGGCTCTGACCCAGGGTGCTGCTGCTCCTTCCTAGGTCCATGCCATCCCACTGCGTTCCTCCTGGGTCATGACCTGTGCCTATGCGCCCTCAGGGAACTTTGTGGCCTGTGGGGGGTTGGACAACATCTGCTCCATCTACAGCCTCAAGACTCGAGAGGGCAATGTCAGGGTCAGCCGGGAGCTGCCTGGCCACACTGGTGAGAGGGGCCTGGGCGAACCTGGGCACTGTCATCGGCAGCTGGGGTGGGGGGCTGCTCTGCCCTCCCTGTTGAGACGTAGCTGATCAGCCCCTTTCCCCAGGGTACCTGTCATGCTGCCGCTTCCTGGATGACAACCAAATCATCACCAGCTCTGGCGATACCACTTGGTGAGCCCCCGCCAGGGCTGTGCAGTCTGGGCCAATCCCCCATGTCCTGCCTCAGCAGCCTCAGTTTATACCAAGCTAGCAATCCAAAAACTTAGCCTCCTTCTGTTGGCAGGTGCCTAGGGGGTGGGGAGGCGCAGGTCCTTCTCCACCTAGGGCTCTTCAACCCCAAACAAGAGCACTTCCATAGATGCTCTATCAGGACTGGGCTCAAGTGAGGCAACAGGGAACTTGTCCTTCACTTCATCTCTGATCCCTTCATTCCTGTCACCTCTCTAGTGCCCTGTGGGACATTGAAACCGGACAGCAGACAGTAGGTTTTGCTGGACACAGTGGGGATGTGATGTCCCTGTCACTGGCCCCCGATGGCCGCACCTTTGTGTCAGGTGCCTGTGATGCTTCCATCAAGCTGTGGGATGTGCGGGATTCCATGTGCCGACAGACCTTCATTGGCCACGAGTCTGACATCAATGCTGTGGCTGTAAGTTCTAGGGGCGAATTGGACAAGCCCTTCCCTGGCTCCTGGCCCTGCTCTGTGCCCTCATCCCACACTGGTCCTGTGTCCTGCAGTTCTTCCCCAACGGCTACGCCTTCACCACGGGCTCAGATGACGCCACGTGCCGCCTTTTCGACCTGCGGGCTGATCAGGAGCTCCTCATGTATTCTCACGACAACATCATCTGTGGCATCACCTCTGTTGCCTTCTCCCGCAGTGGCCGGCTGCTGCTTGCTGGCTATGACGACTTCAACTGCAACATCTGGGATGCCATGAAGGGTGACCGTGCAGGTGAGACCTGGGTGCTGAACTGTACGGTAGACACAGGTGGGGAATGTGGGCAGCAGACCTCATGTCCCCTTCCCTCACAGGTGTCCTCGCTGGCCATGACAACCGTGTGAGCTGCCTTGGGGTCACTGATGATGGCATGGCTGTGGCCACAGGCTCCTGGGACTCCTTCCTCAAGATCTGGAATTAACTGCCCCAACCCCAGCTGGGCCCAGGCTGGGAGGGGCCCTGCCCATGCCCACACTACAGGCCGGGAGCTTTGGGGCTGGGTGCACACCGAGCCTCCCTTCCCGGGTCATGGGGCCTTGGGTCCCTGCTCCCCCACCCAGGTTTGGTTCCTCCCAGGGGGCCCCCACTGTGGAGATAAAGATGGGGATGGAACAGAGGAAGGGCAGAGAGCCCTTGTCCTTTTGCTGCCCTGGGGTTGGGCCTCACCCCTCTGGAGGGCCAGAGGCAGGAGGTGGAAACTCCAGGGGCTGGCTTTTTTAAAACTGGTTTTATTTTAATTTTTATTATATTTTCAGTTTTTCCATAAAGGAACCAATTCCAACTCTGTACCTGGTCTCCACCCTTGCTTGTCTCTCCCTGCTGCCTGAGGGCAGATAGGCTGTAGGGTAAGGGCCCCACCAAGCCAGCAGAGGCCAGAGGAGAAATTTCATTCAGAGCAAAGCTGAAGTCACAGGCAAGAGAACCTTGGCTGTCCCACAGTCCTCCACTTCTTCTCTCCTGGTTACCCTGGCTGATGAGCCAGCTGCCTGGAGTTCTGTTCCGAACCCTGAGCTCTGCTACTCATCCTTAGTGCCCCTTCCCACAAGTAAAGATGGCAGCGAGGCAAGAAGGGGAGAACACACACCAAGTTTTATTGGGAGGGAGGAGTATTTACAGGGGCAGGTAAAAGAAAGGGTAGTCACATGGGGTGGAGGTGGAGTGGGGAAGAATGTGGGTACAAGGCAGATGTGGGAACACAGACTGTCCCCTGCACCCATCCCAACCCCAAAAGAGATGGAGTAAGGGCACAGGAGAACGGGGACTGGGAAAGGACAGCAAACAGGTCTGAGTCCCTGGGCTGGGGGGCTCAGGGGCTTGTAAACATTGACCACTCTCAGAAGGGGATGGGGGTGGGAGAGGGCTCCCCTACACTTCCTCACAGGGTTAAGGCCTCTCCAGGCTCATGGGCCCCCTAAATTCAAAGTCTCTTTAGCTGGGGGAGAAGGGGCAGGAAGAGACAGGAAGTGTCTCCCCCTCCCCTGCACTGGCTGCGGCAGGGGTGGGGGCATTACATTCAGTCACAACAGGAGTCTCCCCCACAACTCTAATGCTGCCAGTGTTTGGCGAGAGAGAGAGAGAGAGAAAGAGAAAGAGAGAGAGAGAAGGGGGAGCTGGGGGGCCAGCAGCAGCAAGACCTTTCCCCCTGGCCCATCACCCCCTTATTGCTTTAGAGAGAATATTGTCTTTTCACGGACGCTAACACTGTCGAAACCAGGGAGAAGCAGGTGGAGGGGCCCTTCCACCCCTGAGGCCAGCTTTATCCCCCAACACTGACCCAATTGCCACTTTGGTGCAAAACAAACCCCCCCCCAAAAAAAAAAAAAAACACAAAGTCATCTCTCTGGGGATAGATGGGGAAAGAAACCGGGACCACTCCCCATTTCCCCAGGGCAGGAAGGAGAAATACATTCATGGAGGGGAGGCAGTGGCAGAATCTTGCCCTAATACTGCACTCTGAGCAATGAGGTCGATGGGAGAAGTTAGATGAGAAACCCAAAAAAAACTATTACGAAAACAAAAACGGATGGAGACAAACCCAGGTAGGGGACTAGGAATCGTAAGTCAGTGAGCAATAGAAGGGGCAGCCTACCCCTGACCCAGGAGACACAGACACTTCCATTCTTGACCCCAACCTTACCCAACATTAAAAGACGCATTGTGGGGAGAGGCCATTCATTCAGCTCTCCCATTTGGTCAATGGAGGGGTCAGGTGCAGAGCTGGGTGGTCCACACCCACACAGCTGGCTGCAGTTGGGGGGCTTCTTTGTAACATCACCCCCTCCACCGGTATGCAACCCCAAGCTCCAGGCTGCCCACTCCTCACCATCGAGGCCCCTCCTCTCGCCCCCTTCACAGGAGAACTCAGTCCATTATGGTCTCTCTCTCTCCAGCTCCTGGAGGAATCTCTCCATCCCCACCTCTCACAGGGGTGAGGCAGGGGTGAGGCGGGGGCTTGTGGCCCAAAGAATACATTCATGTGGCAAGGCAGGGAGCCGGGGCTTTCAGCTTCACACCCAGGCTGTCCCCCCAAATGGCAGCGGTGGGGGAAGCCCCCCACCAGGGCCAGCGTCACAGTCCTGCCGTCCTCCCCATGGCCAGATGAGGTTGGCACTGACCTGGCCCCTCCCACCCACCAGCAGGGTGGTGGCCTGGGAGCTGAGGCGGCTCATCCAATTTGTGCAACTTTCCCCAAAGCAGCAAAGCCGAGGGGCTACTTTGGCCCCACCCCAGACACCTCTGCCATAGTCACAGCCACAGGGGGCTGTTCACAGCGGGTCCGGCAGGCGGGGCTCAGAGGGGGCCTCGCTGTGCAAACTGCTGGACCCCAGCTTCCAGTTACCCCAAAGGCCCACCTTATGGGGGCAGGAGGGTAAGTGCAGCCTTGGGGGCCAGGCAGGACAGGTCCATGGGGCCTGTGTCCCCACTGCCCCAAAATAACAGTGTGTTTTTCTTTCAGCCTCCTAACCATTTTTTTCATTATTTTTCATCTTTTTTCTTAAAAAAACAAAAAAAAAAACCAAAAACAAAAAAACCTCTGCGGACCTTCCATTGTCACACCTACTCTCCCCAGAGAGGGAGGGGTGTTTAGAGTCTAGTTTTTAACATTTTTTTTCTCTCCTAACATATTATTCAAAGTCATTTAAAATTAATTAAAAAAAAAAAAAAGAAAAGAAAAAGAAAAAGAAAATAAAAACCCTTCCCCCCCCAATCTGTAAAGTGCCTCGTGGTGGGTGAATTAAGGTGCATCGTGTGGTTTGTAACAAGTGCTGGGGACCCTGCCCCACTTCCTCCTGGGCTCCTGTGGGGAACCTGCAGGCTGGGGACCCTTGGGTCCAAGCTGTTGCTGTTGCCCCGGGACTACAGCCCTGGGGACTGGTGGGACGGGCTGGTCAGTAGTCATCCACGCTCTCGATCTCACCAGAAGATCCGTGCAGGGAGTACCCTGAAGCCGGGAAGAAGATGGGTCTGAGCTCCTCCCAGGTTCTTTCTGCTCTGTGCTGAGGAAGCATACCTCCTTCCCCAACTACACCCCAGGCTCACCCAAGATGCTGGGGTCCGAGTGCAGCATCAGTGCCCGCCTCTTGGCCTTGCTGCCCTCCCCAGGGCCGAGTTTGGTGCTGTGGTTGGCCTGAAAGGCTGTCTGTAGGGAAGCGCTGCTCAGCCAAGCCTCCTAAGGCAGTGGAGAAGAGGGTCGGTCAAGAGGGCACTGGGGGAACCAGCAGTTAGTGTAATGGCTATGTCGCTGAACTCCCATGTGGTCAACCGTGGTTCACCGTGGTTCGAGTCCTGGACCGGGTGGCTTAAACTCACACCAGGCACATGTGCGTGTGTGCCCAAGATCCCGAGAGGAGAGTGGAGGAGAAGGGATTGTGGTGCAGCCATCCCCCCTGGGGGGGTGACTTCTTGCTTTCTATCTCTCTGTCTCTTTCTGGTGAATGCACGCACCCTATAGCAAAAACCTCTCTCTCAAAATAAAAGGGGGGGGGGACACTGGCCAACTTCACATCCACCTGACAGGACTGCATGAGACCTCACCTGCTGCTGCTGCCGTTGTTGGCTGGCTTTCTGCTTGGCCCCCCGCCCTCGGA